TGAATAACATCCTCAGGCCTAATATTGCTCATGTGACACATCGCGGACATTCTCTCAGTTCTGTACATATTATTTGTATTGCACTTCGTTTTTTTGCAAACGGGAGCTTTCTGTATAATATTGGTGACGCTGAGCACGTTTCCAAGGCTACCGTCTGTCGGGCAGTCAGGAATGTTACAGTTGCACTGAAACGTCTCCTGTACTCGTTTGTGGTGTTCCCCGGTCATAGACCCACAAGATTTATCAAAGAGGGATGCCACAAAATTGCAGGTATCAGGATGAACAAAACTTAATTCATGATGTGGTGATACTTGAACTACTACTTAAATTTTACATTTATTCCCACGGTTCCCAGGCGTGATTGGCTGTATAGATGGCACTCACATTCCAATCATTGCTCCTTCAGTAAATGAAGGAGACTATGTGAACAGGAAGTCTTTCCACAGCATTAATGTACAGGTACATAGTTCCCTGTAGCATTTCAAACTAACAAATTATTTCATTATAGTAATGGATGCTAATTTGTGTTCTCTGCACTGTGAAGATCATATGTGATGCTGCCAACATTATCACAAATGTGGAAGCCAACTGCTCAGCCTCTGTGAGTGGTGGTGGTGGAGGACCCCCACCTGTTTTTCAGGCCTCCGCTTTTTTTCTGTTGGCTATAACGGGTCACATTTGAGCATACAGAGTAAGCAAATATGTACTTGTAATGTGCTCAGATAATTTCAATAAGTGCTTACAGAGCGGAAATTAATGTAGCCTCTAACTGCAATTGATTTATATCAGACAAACAGACCAAGCACTATGGCTCATAATACAATTACACCTTACTTGTTTGGACTATATTTTTATATTTCATTTTTACTTGCCGCCAGGAACGTTTGGGGCCTGTTGGGTTGCACCTGCGCTCACATCACATCACAAAATAAAATGTATAAATAAAAAATAAAATAAAATATAATAAAATAACGTGTTAAATGGGTGGAAATCCCTAGATCAATGTTTAAATTAACACTCACGCATTGACTCTGTCGGCTATGTTTTGCCATGCATGCTCCCTTTCTTTTGCAGCTGAGGCTGTGTTACTTTTTTTCCGCAAAATTTGCATGTTATCGGCATATGCTGCCATCAGAATTTCGGCCTCAAGCGCTGTAAAATACATTGACCGCGCCTTCTTTCCCTCCATCTCCATGGTGACTCACTTAATCTGTGCTCCACTAATCAGGGCTTTATGTATCCTCGTGCGCGCGTTTAACTTGGGGTTAGAGCAACTCCGCGTTGACTGAACTAATTGTTATCAGCCTTTCTGAAACCGAATATTCCGAGTTGGACAGTTCGGGGTTACTCAACCCTGAGTATCGTTTTTCACTCTGAGTTTTCTAAACCGGCTTCCTGAAATAGGGCCCTGCAATAGAAACATATTTAGGAGCAACACATGAATAAAAAGTTTGACAACATTAAGTCCACGCAGCCCTCAGTTTTAAACAAGCAGCAGCTTTCCTGTAACCACCATTAAAACTTTACTGGGAAAAAGCCCGAAGGAGTTCTTTGTTATTTTACTCAGCCCTAAAAAATCTCTGAAATATGGTGCTTTTAATGGGGCTTACACTGGATAGCATTACTTTGTCCCCCAGTAACACTGCAAAGGATCAATCAATCAATCAATCAATCAATCTTTATTTATAAAGCACTTTTCATACAAAAAAAAAAAGTAGTACAAAGTGCTTTACATGGTTAAAAGCAGCCCACCCCACCCCACCCTCCAACTCACTCCCCACACTCCAGGGCTGGACTGGGACAAAAAATCGGCCCGGGCATTTTGACTAGAGACCGGCCCACCAAAAATGTGATGTTATTCAGGGGTAAATCCGCAAAGGATTCTGGGAACTTGTGGCAAGAGGTACTAGCGCATGCAGGCTTTCAATTGAACTCAGTTACACAGCGATAAAAAGAAACACAAAAAATGCCAAGAAGCTGTTGTATTATTAACTGCAATAGCCGGTGTTGTGCCAAAAACTGATTGTCTGCCAGAAACTGATTGCTCATATTTAAATTGCTATAAGTAACTTGTTGGGCTATAATATGTGAAACATATGTCAAATGCATCCCTCAGGGATGACATAAAGTCATCTCTCCGTCTCAATCTCTCTCTGCTGCTCTTCTGTCTCCTCTGTCACAGACTTCTCCACTTTTGATGATAAATCAGCTGGTGCAACATGTAAGGATTGGCACAATTTGTTAAGATTTTGAGGAGTTTGAGAAACTAACCTTAAGCATAAAATAAAATTTACTATCAGTAACTTCATAGCACCCGCCCAGCAGTATATAAACTCTGTCATGCTAGCTAGTACGCAGTACCAGTTATTCTAAGCGACTGTAAAAAGTCAGCACAACGAAAACAAACTACAACTAAACTTGGTTTATATCTGACACAGATAGACAGCAGGTCATAACTTCTTACCTGAAGTTCAGTTCCTCTGCCACTATGACCGGCGGCCGCCTCGGGTCTCTCCTCCTCTTGCCTCCCCTTTCCCTTATCCACCTGCTGGCCTCCACCACTTGCTGATGTTGCTAAATCTGTGGAAGCTATGCCATAGCTACCGCCAACAATTCAGTTATTTTACACATTGGCAGCGTCTGCCTGAAGGGCTTGTTTCTTTTTGGCCCTAATTTTTCTGCACCTCCTTTCTTTTTTTGTTTTCCATTTTCTTTAGTTCGTCTATAAGATTGCTAAACAAGGGGGAGGGTGCATCCGACCTCTTCGGCTGTAATTGGTCCAGCCCAGAGTCGATCATGACAAATCGATCGGCCCATAAAAACAAAATATCGCCATCGGGCATACCGGCCAGTCCAGCTATGCCACACTCTCATTAACATAAACGATGTGAATACACGCATATCCCCCCCTCCCCCCCACACACACACACACGCACACTTAAAGAGTAAAATTGGGCTGGGTACGCATGTGCCAAGTGAAGAAACACTATAACAGGGCCACAGCAGCCACGGTCGATCACAGCCCCGGTGCGCAGAGAGCGCCCTCCGAGGAAACACTGGAGATATGACACAATAGGATATGTACAGGGTAAAACGATAAAATAAATAAGAACGGGATACAATATAAATATAAATAGAGTAAGAAGATTAAAAAATTAATAAGACTAAAATCAATAAATATTAGGTAAAGCCTAAATTAATAATAGAATAACCGGATAGAATAAATAAGCAGAAAATAAATAAACGTTAAGTAAAAGCTAAATTAAAAAGGTGGGTCTTGAGCCTGTTCTTAAAACATGTACGTTCTCTGCGGCCCTGAGCTCCTCCGGCAGGCTGTTCCACAGACGAGGACCATACCACTGAAAAGCTGCCTCTCCGTGAGTATGTGTCCTGACTTTAGGGGCAATCAAAAGGCCAGTACCAGAGGACCTCAGGGTCCGCGAGGGTTCATATGGTGAAAGCAGATCTGAGAGATAAGAAGGCCAAAGACCATTAAGACATTTAAAACCAATAAAGAACTTTAAAATCGATCCTGAAACACCGGGGAGCCAATGCAGCGATTCTAAAACCGGTGTAATGTGGGCCCGCCCTCTGGTCTTCGTCAGCACACGAGCTGCCGAGTTTTGTAAAAGTTGTAAACTTGAAATATTCTTTTAGGAAGACCAGAAGAGCAGGGCATTACAGTGATCAATGCGACTGGTAATAAAAGCATGCATCAACATCTCCATGTTGGCCCGAGAGAGAATAGGGCGGACTCTGGCTATATTTTTTAGATGATAAAATCCAATTTTGGTTACATGTTTAATATGTGGGATAAAATCAAGCTCAGAGTCAAAAATAACACCCAGGTTTTTCACTTGTAGCGAAGGACATAGTGAAAATGCCTCTAATTTAGACAAGAGTTTCTCTCTCTGAGCCTCGGGACCGATGATTAAAACTTCAGTTTTGTCCTGGTTAAGCTGTAAAAAGTTTTCTGCCATCCAAGATCTTATATCTAGAATACAGTTAAAAAGGGCATCCATTGGTCTGGTGTCATCAGGAGACACGGAGATGTACAGCTGCGTGTCATCAGCGTAACTGTGAAAGTTCACTCCATGCCTCCTGATGACACTGCCGAGAGGGAGCATATACAAATTAAAAAGTACGGGGCCTAAAACCGACCCTTGAGGCACACCACATGTCATTTTATGGGTCTTAGAGGAGCATGTATCCATACTCACCATAAAAGTTCTGTCTGAGAGATAGAAAGTGAACCAGTTGTGTACAGCACCAAAGAGCCCACCATGTGTTTCAGTCTGTTTAAAAGAATAGCATGGTCTACTGTATCAAAGGCTGCGCTTAGATCCAGTAGCACCAGGACTGAGAGCTTTTGGGAGTCCCAGTTACATCTAAGATCATTTAAAACCTTTAGGAGAGCCGTCTCTGTGCTGTGGTTCACCCTAAATCCAGACTGGAATATCTCCAGGATCTGTCTATCATTTAGAAAATCAGTAATCTGAGTAAAAACAAGTTTTTCTAAGATTTTACTTAAAAAAATCTTAGAGAAACTTGGAAAAACTTAGAAAATCTTAGAACTCTTGGAGTTCTTTCTGACCAGGATATTTTCTCAAGTGTGTGTATCAAACAAATATGTAACTGCTTTCTTCCATTTTATGGAATATCTCTAAAATGAGAAACATCCTGTCTCAGAGTGACACTAAGTCTTCACCTTACAATATAAGTACGTTGAGGCAACTGTTGTGGTTTGGTGCTATATAAACAAAATTGAATTGAATTGGAAAAAAAGATTTAATTGTGCAACATGACAAATAATCGTAATTGAAAAGTTAGAGGCTATTTAAATCCTGTAAGCATCATTTTACAAGCTCTTCTGTTAATCTCGCTAAATTAAAGAGCTAAACAATCAGAAGTGTCAGTTGACCTTTAAATGAGCAAATCAAAGTGAACTCAAAACTGTAATCTGTAACTTTGATTATTATTTTTGTATATTTCTGTCTTAGGTTGCTTCAGCAAAGATCAGGTGTATCTGGACGGGATCCTGCGGATTCTTCGGCATCGAAGGACAATTGACTTCAAAATGTTAACTTCTTTAGGCAAGGTCAGTCAGACTACCCACAAAAAAGACTTAGAATTAGATTCAGAAGTATTAAATTAAATCATACATGGCATTGAGCTCCCTTCATTGTGTTGCAATATGTGATAATATGTACACTCTCTGCCCTCCACATGGTTTCTACAGTTTGGTCAGAAGTATTGAATAAATGTAAAACTCAAGGACTGGGTACATGAGTTGGCGTTTATGTTGAATGTGGTCCCCCATCTGTTTTGGGGATAACCACCTCAACAGCTACCAACCACCATGCTCCTTGCAGCAGCCTGGAACCCTGCAGAACTAGGCACCAACTCTTTATCCTCTCAAGGATATTTGAGGGTGCATGGCAGTTTGCACATTCAGTTCACATATGTTCTGTGGACTTGGAGAAAGCATTCAACCACATCCCTCGGAGTGTCCTGTGGGGGGTTCTTTGGGAGTATGGGGTGTCCGGCCCGATGCTTTGAGCCATTTGTTCTCTGTATAACCATTGCTCCCCTTTGTCACTGATTCTGTTCATAGTTTTTATGGACATAATCTTTAGGCACAGCAAGGTGTTTGAAGGTTTCTGCTTTGGTGGCTAGGGCAGTACGGTGGCATGGTGGTTAGCACTGTTGCCTCACAGAAGGTCGTGAGTTCGGTTCTACTATCAGGCCGGGAGCTTTCTGTGTGGAGTTTGCATGTTTCTTCCCCGTGTTTGTGTGGGTTTTCCCGGGTACTCCGGCTTCCTCCCACAGTCCAAAGTGGGGATAGGTTAATTGGTAACTCTAAATTGCCCATAGGTGTGAATGGTTGTCTGTGTCTATGTGTTAGCCCTGCAACAGACTGGCGACCTGTCTAGAGTGCACCCTGCCTCTCACCTTTAGACAGCCGGGATGGGCTTTAGCCCTCCCACAACCCTGACATAGATGCTATGGTGCCTTCAGAATCTCATGTCTGCTTTTTGCAAGTGATGTGGTGCTGTTGGCTTCATCACGTGGTGGCCTCCAGCTCACACTGCAGCGGTTCAAAGTCTTAGGCCATGGTTCTCAGTTACAAAAGGGTGGAGTGTCTACTCATTGCAGGGATAAATTGCTGCCCCAAATGGAGTAAGCTTTTTATCCATTGAACAACCAGCTTTGATGCATGGTTGGGATCATTGTTTTGTGGAACATCCTGTTGTTTACAAGAGTCAATCACGTAGCTGAAGATCTGAGGTGAAGTTCAAGAAGTGGGTGGTAGTCCTACTCCTTCATTATATCATCCTCTTTATGCAGTGTACCACTGTCAGCAAAATAGCTCCAGAGCATAATGCTACCACCACCCAGTGCAATGTTCTTAGGTTTGAAAGCCTCGCTTTGCTCTTCCAAATATATCTCTCGTCATTGTTGGCAAATAACTCGGTCTTTGTATCGTCTGACCATAAAACGTTTCCCCAGTAGGTATTTGGCTCGTCCATGTGGGCAGCTGCAAATTTCTATGTAAAACTTGCTTCACTGTGGACAGCGATCCTGGTTTTCCACCAGTTTCCAGTTAATGGTAGGCTTGAGCCTGTGTTGTTCATGAACATACTAACCAGTTTTCAGTCATTTGAGGGTACATATTGAAAAAAGTGTGGGAGCAGTGCTTTATGTTTGGACGGTTCATGAGTCCTTTCTCCCTTGACATTTGTAGGTGTCTTATGAAGATGTGGAGAGACTCCGACATCTGGCAGTGCTCTCCAAAACTAGAATCCCGCATTTCATGCGAGACCAGGAGCGGTACCTGCAACATCTGGACCACATCATCACCATCAATGAGCTCGAGGATTCAACTCTGGAGCACCTTCTACCGTGACCATCCCACCCAAAGAGAAGAGGAACTGGAGGATCTTCAGACTCTACCATGTGGTGACCCAATTCTTGCTTAAGAGATCCAGTATTACTGATGCTTTATTGGAGCAATTTTGTTTTCTTAAAACTTGAATGACATGAACAAAAGGGACATACACACTAACACCTCTATCTACATTTCACCTGTGTCCAATGCATGTTTGTGTGGCTTTTCCACAGAGCCAAGTACAGTTTCTGTGCGCCGTCGCCTTTACTGCTATTATGAAATTACCTCAGTACTAAAACTTTATGATGTAATCAACTTTATATATGTAAACTCACTCATAATCACAGAAATGTTCACAATCACAAGCTTTATTTATGCAATTATTTAAGTTTTTCTTTTTTTTACTTTGAGAAAACAGACTGAATGTTTCTGGTATTAGCTTTATATGTTCTTTTTTAGACTGCGTTGTTTTTATGCCTTTGATTATTTGCATTTTAAAAAGAAGACACCAAGGACACATTTCAAAACTGAGACCATGAATCTTAAAGATATCAAGTGCCAGCAGACTCAGTCTGACCTTCCACCAGGGATAATTAAAATATCAGTGTTATTAAGAAGATAATCAGCTCTTTTATCACTGTCTTAACAGTGTCCTTGGTGGTCTTTGATTATCAGTATGCTACTGTGATGTGTGCCCGAGACCCTGACCCCAACTCCACCCCACTGCGCAACAACCAAATTTTCCTTTGAAATGTCAGAGGAATGGTTGGACATTTTGGGTTGCTTACGTTTATTGAATAACTTGCAGAGTTATATTACGATTTATAGGATTGTCATGTCTTTGTAGTTAAACCGCTTCTATGCTTGTGTTAAAGAAGGCAAATAAGGGTTTGCTTACCCTGAGCTGAGTCTGTCTAAAAATACTGTATTTCATTACTTGGCACATCAGCCTCGTCAGTCTGGTTTTTGCTATGTGCTAAAATTACAGTCTTTTCTAAACAAACAGTAAAAACATCCTGGCCGGAAAAATGAAGTCACTGCAGAACTTGTGACAATAGGTCTCTGTTTTGACCTCTGCAAACACTTTGCTGCTGAGCTGATGGGCTCAGTCACTCGTTTGGGGTCATAAATGCAAACTAATTAGGTCTGTAAATCTTGGTCATACCATAAAAATCTATATCAAGTGAGTCATGACAACAAAGTCCCTGATATTTCAGTTGAGCTTTGCAATGCTGCTTAATACCTTAATGACTCATAGTTAGTCCTGTGGCCAGGAATCACGATCTTTATTCCCGTTGTAGCAGTGAAACTGAAGCTCAGTTCTCTCGGTGCAAACAAAGAGTCACACAAAAAATTACATTTAAGTTACAGTTCCAGCCAGGCTAAACGTTCCCCGATTAGTGTGTCGCTGTTGGTGGCCTTTAGCTGTGGCTTTATATTTAACGTAGTCTTTTCTGTGATGGAATCAGTCTCTTATGACTCTGCAAGAGAGCAAATGTAGGTATTTCCCCTAAAAGTCTGTCTTTATTGGAAAATGTGCTGAAGTAACATTTTTAATACTGTGTTGGGCTTTTTGAGACCGTCTCATCCAGACTGAGTCTCTTGTTAAGGAGGAAACAGGGGTGTAGTGGGTGTGCCTTAAATGGGTGTAGCGCTCATCTGCTGTAGCTAGCCATGTGTTTTGTAAGCTGCTTTTATTGTGTTTGACACTTCAAACTTTAGATGTGAGTCATTTTGGGCCAAGCTGTCAGTCAGCACAGAGAAACCAGAAGAACCAGGTCACAGCAGCATCACGACACTAGCCTTGAGTTTTTAACTTGAAGATGAAAAGACCGGGCCAACATGTGAACTCTACAAACACGGTGCATTTTAAACACTTGGATTTGAAGATCAACATGTAACCCAATTATATTCTGCTGTGTTTAAGTTTTTAGCCACGTGATAAGCTGATATTTAAGATCTGACCTTAACGGCAGCCTGGTTTCACCTAAACGAATGCACCGATTTATAAACGCACGAATGTTGCAGAAGTGTTATTTTGTGGAAAACAACTTGAATTTCCAGTTTATTTATTAAAATGTACATATACTGTTTCTGGTCTGTTTCATGTTGCACATCACTCACCAGGACAAACCAAACTCTAATCAGGATTTTTAATTTTTAATTCAATTCAATTCAATTTCTTTATTGTCCCACAAGGGGAAATTAGTTTAGCAATTCAATTCAATTTTATTTATATAGCGCCAAATCACAACAAAAGTCGCCTCAAGGCGCTTCATAGATACAGAGAAAAACCCAACAATCATATGACCCCCTATGAGCAAGCACTTTGGCGACAGTGGGAAGGAAAAACTCCCTTTTAACAGGAAGAAACCTCCGGCAGAACCAGGCTCAGGGAGGGGCGGCCATCTGCTGCGACCGGTTGGGGGGAGAGAAGGAAGACAGGATAAAAGACATGCTGTGGAAGAGAGACAGAGGTTAATAACAGATATGATTCAATGCAGAGAGGTCTGTTAATACATAGTGAGTGAGAAAGGTGACTGGAAAGGAAAAACTCAATGCATCATGGGAATCCCCCGGCAGCCTAAGTCTATTGCAGCATAACTAAGGGAGGATTCAGGATCACCTGGTCCAGCCCTAACTATATGCTTTAACAAAAAGGAAAGTTTTAAGCCTAATCTTGAAAGTAGAGATAGTGTCTGTCTCCCGAATCCAAACTGGAAGCTGGTTCCACAGAAGAGGGGCCTGAAAACTGAAGGCTCTGCCTCCCATTCTACTTTTAAATACTCTAAGAACAACAAGTAGGCCTGCAGAGCGAGAGCGAAGTGCTCTAATAGGGTGATATGGTACTACAAGGTCATTAAGATAAGATGGGGCCTGATTATTTAAGACCTTGTATGTGAGGAGCAGGATTTTGAATTCAATTCTGGATTTAACAGGAAGCCAATGAAGGGAAGCCAAAACAGGAGAAATATGCTCTCTCTTTCTAGTCCCTGTCAGGACTCTTGCTGCAGCATTTTGGATTAGTTGAAGGCTTTTCAGCGAGTTTTTTGGACATCCTGATAATAATGAGTTACAGTAGTCCAGCCTGGAAGTAATAAATGCATGAACTAGTTTTTCAGCGTCACTCTGAGACAGGATATTTCTAATTTTAGAGATGTTGCGCAAATGGAAGAACGCAGTCTTACATATTTGTTTAATATGTGCGTTGAAGGACATGTCCTGGTCAAAATTGACTCTAAGGTCCCTCACAGTGTTACTGGAGGACAAGGGAATGCCATCCAGAGTAAGATTCTGGTTAGATACCATATTTCTAAGATTTTCAGGGCCGAGTACAATAACCTCAGTTTGATCTGAACTAAGAAGCAGAAAGTTAGCGGCCATCCAGGTCTTTATGTCTTTAAGACATTCCTGCAGTCTAACTAATTGGTGTGTGCTATCTGGCTTCATGGACAGATAGAGCTGGATGTCATCGGCATAACAGTGAAAATGTATGCTATGTCTTCTAATGATGCTGCCTAAGGGAAGCATGTATAATGTAAACAGAATTGGTCCTAGCACTGAACCCTGTGGAACTCCATAATTAGCCTCAGTGTGTGAAGAGGACTCTCCATTTACATGCACAAACTGGAGTCTATTAGATAGATATGATACAAACCACTGCAGCACAGTACCTGTAATACCTACAGCATGTTCTAATCGCTCTAATAGGATATTATGGTCGACAGTATCGGATGCTGCACTGAGGTCTAGCAGGACAAGCACAGAGATGAGTCCACTGTCAGAGGCCATAAGAAGATCATTTGTAACCTTCACTAAAGCTGTTTCTGTGCTGTGATGAGCTCTGAAACCTGACTGAAACTCTTCAAATAAGCCATTTCTCTGCAGATGATCTGTTAGCTGTTTGACAACTACTCTTTCAAGGATTTTTGATATGAAAGGAAGGTTGGAGATTGGCCTATAATTAGCTAAGACTGCGGGGTCTAGAGATGCTTTTTGAGTAAAGGTTTAACTACAGCCAGCTTGAAGGCCTGTGGTACATAGCCGATCATTAGAGATAGGTTGATCATATTTAAGATCGAAGAATTAATTAATGGCAGGACTTCTTTGAGCAGTTTTGTAGGAATGGGGTCTAAAAGACACGTTGATGGTTTGGAGGAAGTAATTATTGAAGTTAACTCAGAAAGATCAATTGGAGAAAAAGAGTCTAACTTAACATCAATGGTACTAAGAGTAGCTGTAGATAATATTACATCTGTGGGATGATTATTGGTAATTTTTTCTCTAATGATAAAAATTTTATTTGTGAAGAAGTTCATGAAGTCATTACTAGTTAACGTTAAAGGGATGGTTGGCTCAAAAGAGCTCTGACTTTTTGTCAGCCTGGCTACAGTGCTGAAGAGAAACCTGGGGTTGTTCTTATTTTCTTCAATCAGTGATGAATAGTAAGATGTTCTGGCTTTGCGGAGGGCTTTCTTATAAAGCAGCAAACTTTTTCTCCAGGCTAAATGATGATCCTCTAAATTTGTGACACACCATTTCCTCTCCAGATTACGAGTCATCTGCTTTAGGCTACGTGTTTGAGAATTATACCACGGAGTCAGGTACTTCTGCTTTGAGACCTTAGTTTTCACAGGAGCTACAGTATCCAGAGTCGTACGTAGTGAGGAGGTGAAATTATTAACAAGATAATCGACCTCTGTTGGAGTAGCGTTCAGATAGCTGCTCTGCTCTGTGTTGGTACAGGGCATTGAAGATGATAATAGTGGGTGGATTATATTCTTAAACTTAGTTACAGCGCTTTCAGAAAGACATCTACTGTGATAAAGTCTACTCTCCACCGCTGTGTAATCAATTATTGTAAATGTAAATGTTATCAGGAAATGATCAGCCAGGAGAGAAACACTGTTAAATGTTCAGTTTCTATGCCATATGTTAAAACAAGATCTAGAGTGTGATTAAAGTGGTGGGTGGGTTCTTTTACATTTTGAGAGAAGCCAATTGAGTCTAATAACAGATTAAATGCCATGTTGAGGCTGTCATTTTTAGCATCTACATGGATGTTAAAATCACCCACAATAATTATTTTATCTGAGCTCAGAACTAAATTAGATATAAAGTCTGAGAAATCAGACAGAAACTCTGTGTAAGGCCCAGGTGGACAATAGATGATAACAAGTAAGACTGGTTTCTGAGTTTCACAGCTGGGGTGGAGAATGTTAAGCATCAGGCTTTCAAATGAATTAAAAGTCTGTCTGGGTCTTTGGTTGATTAATAGGCTGGTGTGAAAAATTGCTGCCACACCGCCCCCTCGGCCTGTGCTTCGAGGTTTCTGGTAGTTAGAATGACTCGGGGTGTTGATTCATTTAAACTAACATAATCATCCTGCTGCAACCAGGTTTCTGTAAGGCAGAGTAAATCAATTTGTTGATCAATTATTAAGTCATGTACTAACAGAGACTTGGAGGAGAGAGACCTAATATTTAATAATCCACATTTCACTGTTTTACTCTTTGGTTCAGATGTGGATACTTTATTGTTCTTTCTTTGTAATTGTTTATGTTTAAGTTGTTTGTTGCTGGTTTTTAGTTTGTTTTTTGTCTGTTTGGGAGCTGACACAGTCTCTATGGGGATGGGTTTTTGGGGGGGTAGCAGGAGGAGAGAAGCTGCAGAGAGGCGTGTAAGACTGCAACTCTGCTTCCTGGTCCCAACTCTGGATAGTCATATTATGGGGGGTTTAATAAATTTGTCCATATTTCTAGAAATGAGAGCTGCTCCATCCAAAGTGGGATGGATGCCGTCTCTCCTAACAAGACCAGGTTTCCTCCAGAAGGTTTGCCAATTATCTATGAAGCCCACATCGTTTCTGGGACACCACTCAGACAGCCAGCAATTTAAGGAGAACATGCGGCTAAACATGTCACTCCTGGTCTGATTGGGGAGGGGACCAGAGAAAACTACAGAGTCCGACATTGTTTTAGCAAAGTTGCACACCGATTCAATATTGATTTTAGTGACCTCCGATTGGCGTAACCGGGTGTCATTACTGCCCACGTGAATTATGATTTTACTGAATTTAGCAGCAGGATATAAATAAACAGAACAATACTATAAAATAATAATGACAATAATAGTGATAGAAAGTCCAAGGGCAGTTATTTGCCATTGAGGAGACAAGCCCTGAAATTTTGCTAGCAGTTTTTAGCAGAAGTCCCAACCGATTCTTATTCTTCACCGTCAGGTTACCAAACCAGGCAGCGATACAAAAGGACATCACAGATTCGATAAAACTTCTATAAAACAAGGACAACATCTCAGATGAGACATTAAAAGATCTCATTTTCCTTAAAAAGAACAGTCTTTGTTGAACTTTTTTAGTAGTGGCATCAGCATGAGATTCAAAACACAGTTTATGGTCAAGTACCACACCTAGATATTTATAACTCTCAACGATCCCAATATCGGCAGTTTTAATGATAGTGGGTGATGAGCTATAAGAGGACTTCCTAAAATCAATAATCATGTCTTTAGTTTTTGACATGTTAAGTGAAAGGAAGGACTCATCACACCAATTCACAAAATCATCTACAACCTGTCCATGGCCTGACTCGCCCCCACAAGAAGACTGACGATTACTGTGTCATCACCAAACTTCAGGATGTGTCTGTTCGTGAAATTGCTGCAACACTCACTCGTGTACAGAATGAACAGAAGGGCAGAGAGGCAGCATGCTGGGGTGATGCAGTAGAGGAGGAGAGCACATCAGAAAACACATGATTCACCATCACGCATTGTGACCTATTAGTCAGAAAGTCTGTCACCCAGCCGACCAGACTAGTGTCAAGCTTGAAATGATTGTAAAGCCTGTCAGCAAGTAAGAAGGGTTGAATTGTATTGAATGCCGATGAAAAGTCAGCAAATAATAATCTTGCATGTGGGTGGGGGGCCTCAAGATGCTTATACAAGAGATGCAGGAGTGTGACAGCAGCATCCTCCACACCTCTCCCTGCTCTACAGGCGAACTGGAAGGGGTCAAGATGGTGTTCAACATACATTAAAATCTCCTTCTTAATTATCTTCTCAAA